TTTCCCGCACAGAGCATCCCTAGAGGGTCACAAACACCCTCTTATGGCTCTGTTACTTTGTTGTGTGGGGAATACAGCTTTCTAACTGGCTTCTTCTAGGTCTTTGTTGAAAGGCTAACAACAGGTGATCAGGTTGGATATCATGAGAAGGTTCTTCACCAGGAGGGTGGTTGGGCAGTAGAACAGGTTTCCCAGGGAAATGGCATGGCACCAAACTTTATGGAGTTCAAGAAGTGTCTGGACAATGTGCTCAGACATGTGGTCTGACTTTTGGGTGGTCCTGTGTGGAGTAGGTATTTGACTTGATGATCCTTACAGGTCCCTTCCAATTCAGGATATTCTATGCTTCTATGCTTTTATGATCAATGTGCTGGTGTAGGCAGGCAGGTCTGTCTGGCTTTTTGTCAGACAGCCGCTAAACAGGATCCCTCTCAGAGACAAGACACAAACAGGGAGATAGCAAAAAGCTACACATAACTCTGCTACTATGCCCAGAAGAAACTATGCTCAGTAATTGAAAATAAGTAACAACTTGTGCCCCAACTGAAGTGAAGGCTGTGACACTTTGATCTCTTTAGGCATCATGGAGGAGACCATTCTGAACCATTTCTACTTAACTAGAGGAAAATCATCTGCTAGATCTCATACATCCTTAGATGCCCAGTAATTCAAATGTGAGACGCTACCAGGCCTTCCCAGTTCCACCTCACACAAATTTATCCCTCCTGCTTCTACTTGCTTAACAGGATGTGGCTATTTCAAGTACAAGTAAGTGGCAATACGGCAATGCAATTAAGCCAGTCGTCCGTTCCAGCCAGCAGAGCACAGGCAGGCAATGGAGAAAGTCAGCTGAAGGAATTACACAGCCACGCCATTTCCCCATCTGGATGTAATCTGAGCTGCTAGTTCTATGTAAAACGGTATGGTAAATGCTTTAGAGCCTGTCCTGAAGGACCACATTTTCCCCCACAGACCTCCATGGAAACTCAGACAATTGAAGGTATTTTTCTTGAAAGCCTATAACTGCGTGCCCAGGACATGAGTTATTTTCAGAGGAAGGTCATCAGCTGTGCATCCTCCTCCTCCTAGCAGTTGGCCAGACCTTAGTGGTCTGCAGTAATGTTTACCTAGCTGATATCATACCTTGATTCTCCATCTGAATCAGTTACTTTACGAAGGCTGTGAAGTTGCTGCTTCCCATTGCTTTCCACTTCTAGATCAATTACTGGGAATTATGGGAAGTTCTCTAACATAAAACTGGCAAAGGACAAACATGTACCACAACGACTTGCTGACAAAGATTTAGCCTTCTTGGTTCACAGTGAGAGAAGTTCTTACAAATTCTTCAGTGCTTGGTTACACTTTTTTTTTGTTTTGTTTAAAAACAGAAAAGTTGCAAGCGATTCCTTAGATTCATATATCATGTCACAGAGCAGTGAGGACACAGGTATGCACACAGTAGGTAACAGTAAATACCTATTTAACATTAGTGTGCCTTAAAAATACATGTTCACAGATATGTTCTGGGCACCTTAGCCATGGTAATGACAGCTGAGCGCTGGGTCTGAGCAACCACAACAGTACATAGAGCTCTACTGGTACTGAAGAAGGAGAGCTTACCTTCTTCAAGAAGACAGTTTGGTTTAAGGTTGATATAATTTTAATCTAATCCATACAAAACATATTCACTTGAAATAAAGCATTATTTATTAGCAAATAAAAGTAAACAGTAGAGCTATGCAGCTGAGGAAGTAGCTTTCCTGACTTGCTTGGTTGGAAAAACCATCTCGTATATTGCATGAAAATGTGCTCAGAAATATCTGTTATTTATTTATTATTGTATTAGTAATTATTTACTTGGTCTACACAGTGCTGCTACAAAGCTATATAGAGAAGACCAAATTCTCTGCTAACATAAATCCCATTAGAAGGATATCACTTCCATGTGCCAATACCCTCCCCATCCAGCCATAACCAAGTCTTCCTGATGGCAGCCAAGTGATGTCATGTAGATATCACAGTAGTGGATGGATATATTTAGTATTAAATAGTTGAGTATTTCACAGAAAACTGTGACTGCATTTGCAAACTGCAATGGCAGAAAGAGTGCTTTAAGAATATATTTCTCTGGGTTACATGAAAAAGATGACTGAGAATTCAGAAATATGGTAGGTGTCTATAAGAAAATAAGGCAGTTTTCAGTCAGCCATAAATCTTGTACTAAAGTATGTGCAAAAATATTCCTAGCATCCTCACCATGTTATTATTAGATGTCCCTTAATTCACATTTGTGGATATGTGCAATGCTGTTTATTTTGTTTGGACTGTTTATCTACTACATTGCTATTGCACAAGTAACAGAAAAAAAAAAAATCCCCACTTTTCCTTATGGATGACTCTCTGGAGAAACAAACAATTATACTTTCCAATTCAGCACATGTTGTTGTGTACATCCCAAAGATTTATACTCTGGTCATGTTTTTATTGGATGCACTGATTTATTTGGCTTGGATGCTGCCCTCTGTATAAAAAAGTATTTTGTATTTTGATGTCCTGATGGTGGCAGTAGGAGATTTTACAACAGAGTTCACAGAAAACTGATCCAGCAGTAAACAGCCTCATTGTATCTTGGAGAGGAAAAGCTGCCCGAAACATCGTACTGTTATTTATTTTGTTCTCTCCATCCAAACACGACCCAAGTGACACATGCTCATTTACGCACGCCAGGTAAACAACTGTGAATCATGAACTACTCAGGAAGCCCTGGTAGAAATGAACTACTGCCTGAAGCATACAGAAATTTCCCTCTGTAAAGTTTTCTTATGGAGAAAGGAAGATGCTTAAAGCATGGGAAGAACACTGCAGACAGGGAATCCCTGTATGTGCTCTCTCTGTTCTGCAGCTCCCTTCAGGCAGCAGAATCCACCAGACAGCAACTCTCTCCATGAGTACTTAATCATGTATGTCAAAATATTCATCCTACACCTTCTTGTGGAACGGTGGGTGTTTCATCCCCGGTAATCAGAGGATGTTTGTAGGTGAAAGCAGTTGGGCACACATGGAATTGTTGTGGGAGTAAACAGCAAACCTGCACTGCTGTGGATGTGCAGCACCAAGTGTGCACTTTCCCAGTGTCCTTGACTGTATTGCAGCTTGCCACAGCTGGCTGCTGTGAGAATGAAACCATTTTTCCCTCTGCCTCCTCTTGCCCTGAGTTCTGGCACAGTGTCTAACCTCACTGACTTAGCCCCCTGTACTGCTTTCCATTGGGAACAGGAGATGGCTGGGTCAGCCCCATGACCAGGATGGATGTCCCCAGCAGCACAACCAGTGCCTGGCTGTGGTGATGACTGAGAGTCCTGACATGCCACCAGTAGAGCAATGGGCATCTCAGTCATGCAGACCTAGTGGTACAAACATGTGATGCAATTGAAAATGGATTAAAAGGGCAAAAAAAAAAAGCAGGAAAGCATAGGTACAAACATGCCATAAAGGGACATAGGTGGGTAGATGTGTGGTTGCTGCCTCTGCTGTCCTCTCCTTCATTGACTCTGTGTCTCACATAGCAGCTGTGCTAACCAGGGGTGATTAACGAGATACTTAAGCAGCTCAGCAAGTCTGCTAGACTTTTTGTCTTTAAAAATTAAACTGTGGTAATTAAAAGTGGCTATAGGTCTTTAAGAGAGATTAGATAGAAAAAAAAAAGAAAGTCTCTTTCCACTGAATTGCCAGAGACTCCTTAAAAATTATGTTACAGGAAATGAATGCCTAGAAGCCAAGTAGAATGGATATATTCACTGCCTGTGTCGCAGTCTGCTGCACGAATCCTTGGGAAGAGAAGTTATGAATGCTGACAGCCTGATCCTTATCCTGTGTTTGCCCAGTGTAAAATAGGAGCAGACCCACAGAGAGTTCAGAGAGCTAAACCCGCTCCAAAACCAATTTGTGTGAGACCTGAAGCCCCATCCTGCCCCAACGCAGCCTGCTGAGCTGAAACCAGTAACACTGTTATTGCAGCTCTTGTTAAAAAGGAGGTCTTGGACAAAACTGAGATAGTACCATAAATGACACAAAAAAAATGTAGCAGGACCGGAATTACTGGGAATATACACCAGCTATTGTTTCACTGACTGAAATCATAAACCTGTATTAAAGCTATCAGAAAATGAATTTGGAGCATTAAAAATGTATAAAGCTTTTTGAGTCCCTAGAAAGATCATTACTAGGCAACATATTGCTGCAGTTCCCGTCACAAGGCGCTGAGAAGGCACAGACCCGGCTCGTATCAGCCGCGCTCCCTCCACCCTCGCAGCGCAGAAGAGGGGGCCCATTGAGCACGGCGGTGCCATAAAGTGCCTTTGTGCGAGGAGCTCTTTGCTGCCTTAAGGAGCATCGAGTCAGCGGGAGGTTGCTGGGGCACATGGGTGGGAGGTCTGAAGTCTGCCGTTGTCGGCATCCCTCTGGTTGAACTGTAGATAGCCCGGTTGTTTGCCACATTTGCTAATAATAGTGCGGCTGTGACCTTGCCCTTAATGTGAGTTAGCACTCTTTCCCTCTGTTTAGCAGGTTGAATCTGACTCAAAGCGCCCCACAGGAACACTTCACATGAACAGGTTTCATAAAAATTCTTTGAATCTGAAACGGGTTGGCATTCATAGGTAATGCTACTGACTCCATGCCGCATGACTGCCCTTTTTATGGCGTGTGCAGTTTTCTCGTTTGCTGCTGGGTGTTTTTGTGACAAAGGCACCCAAAGGAATAGCAGGCTCCTCAAGGCTCTGCCTTTCTCTTTCAGCCACTGCATCGAATGTGACACTTTCTCTGCTACTTCTGTAGTTCTGAATAAGTAGAATAATACACCACCTCTCAGAAGTATTAAAAGCTCAGTTCCTTGTATTTATGAAGTGCTTCGTGTTTTCAAGAGAAGGTGCAATGTACTGTAAATGCAATTTCTTAGTAGCTATTACTCGTGAAAATAAAAGAGGATTTTTATTTGGCAGGTCTCAGATGGAGAGGAACAGTCATGTCAGACGTGTGCTGTGTCAGTAACAGATGGGAGAAAGAAGAACCAAGACCCCAAACTGTCAGGATTGCTACCGAATCCACGCACAAATGTACTGGCAGAGGTCAGCATTAGGTCTAAGCTCTGCTAAAAGTTACATAGGATTCATTAAGCTGTTGCTCTTTCAACAAGATTTATTGCCAAATGTCTGTTTTATTTCCAATGTCCTTATATCCTCAGCTTTATATTGCATCGGTTGTTTAAATATTTGAGTGCATTCAGGAGCAGCAATTTCATCTCTCCAGCATAAAAACGTTGCAGCTGGCAGTGGCTCAGGGCCAGTAACAGGATGTTAGCAGCCCTGTGTTCAGTGTTTCTCTGCCCCAGCAATCTGGATTGTGTTTTTCTAAATTTATTTGATCATGGCATTCATGAAAATTACAAATTAGCATCAGCAAGTAGGAGCTGACATGGCCTCAGCATATCTTTGCCATAACTCTCTGTTCAGCTCTGTTCTGTCCTGACCGCCACCCTCCTTTCTCTCCCCAGGTTATGTTCATTTCAAGACTGGTGCTGATGGTGCACCATAGAAACTACAGAAACTGAGAGAGCTGAAGGAGGACGACAAACCTTGTGGAGTTTGAGACTAGAGTGAAACCCCATGAAGTTCCCTTTAATGGTAGGAAAGTGAAACACTAATACTTCGATGCTGTAGTAACTAACGAGCAGCTGAGATTTTCATAAAATCCACAAGCGTTTAAGAACAAATTTAATTACAGCCCAGCATTGAAATTCATGTCAGTATAACCTCCCCTAATTGCCCAAACTTACTGATTGCCTTCATTTATTCTTCGTGGCAAGTTACTCTTGAGACTGTAAGATACGGTCCTTGGATATATACAGCATTAGTGACTGAAGACTGATACACTGCAGCAAAATGATGCTATTTAAACCTGCAGAACTAATTTCACACATACACACACCACATCAATCTTTGTTTTTTAACCACTTTAAAAAGTAACTCGCTTCTGTACTGGGGAAAATATTAGTCATCATCATGGCTTTTAGCAACACTGAAAGAAAAGGACAACAAAAAAATTAGCATCGCGCCACGAGCCATCCACAGCCTACTTTTGCTCGAATGGCATCCTAAATGTGCCCCAGGAGGCAGCAGGAAAACGTGAAGTTGCCTCAGTGATGCCATTTACAGGAGCAGATCGCTACCTCAGAGAGTGCAAGTCCAGATGAAGCTCACATAGCTAACCTGAGGAGAGCAAAAGAGATCAATAGGATCAGCTTTCACCTGTGCTTTCAGCATGAGAGCTTACAGGAAATTAAGTGGAATTTAATGTAACGGCATAATATCATACGGATATTTAATTGCATGGTAATATAAGACATAAAGCATTCCCCAAAGTTTATCCTGCTAGTTAATTTGGTTAATTAGATATTTAGCACTTGCTCCCCCATCTCCCATTTCCTCATCTCTGAAAGAAATGTTGATCAATTTGTTCATTATTGGCTCCTGCTATGGAATAATTCACTCTCCTTTGTCAGTATATCATAGCATATGTCTAGAAAGGAAAGAAGCGAAATAAAAGATCGAAAACACAAAGAGAGGATTTTAAAAGAAAATTACAAGCTAAAATCGTAACACTTGCAGAGACCAGTGCCCTTCATTAGTGTGACGGGCTAAATAAATTGCACTATTGGTGTATTGCCCCATCTCTGAACATCTGCTGGGACACCTCAAGCAGTTCTTACCCACACTCATGGGTGCCAGATGCAGCTGCTTCCTCAGCATCTTAAATTCCTTTTAGCCACCCCCCCCCTCAAGAAGTCACCATCTCTACAGGTTCTTTGCTCTGAGACAGAAATTTTTGAAATGAAAATCCTAGCAAAGTCTGACTCACAGTATTTAGTAGAAGAGCAGAAAATTTAGGAAGAATGAGGATTCATACAGTTGGATTTCCCCAAGGAGTTCCTTACCCTGGACAGAAATTCCACCCAAACAGATGCTGAGTTTTTTTTTGCTAATCTCAGATTTCAGATCTTTGATAGGCATGGCTGACTGTGCATCACCATCTCACATGGCCTCCTCTATTGGAAGATTTACCTGTCCTGTGGCAAGGTGCAATCCCACCACCAGCTGATGGGAACTAGACCTGCTGCTTTGCTCTGTGTGGTGCTCTTGGTCTCTGTCCCATCAATGCCTCTACTATTGGGGAAAAGTCACTTAAGGGGATTCAGAGAACCACAGAATAACTGGATTTGGAAGGGATCCATAAAGATCACTACGTCCAACTCCTGGAGAGCCAGAAAATTCACTGTGCTGTTGCGTACTGCAAACAGAATCACAGAATTGTAGAGATTAAAAGGGACCTCAAGAGATCATTAAATCCAACCATCTGCTAAAACAGATTCCCTACAATAGATCGCACAGTTAGGCATCCAGATGGGTCTTGAACATCTCTGTAGAAGACTCCACAACCTCTGTGGGCAACCTGTTCCAGTGCTCTGTCACCCTTACCATAAAAATCAGTTCTTCCGCATGTTTATATTCCTATGCATAAGATCAGTGCTTCTCAAATGTTGCCTAATAATTCTTGTGAGGGTGGTCACTTGGCCATCAGGTGGAAAACGGAAAACATTGCAAAAATCAACACCATCATCATTTTTGCAAGTTGTTACAGAATGTAAGCCCTGCAAGTGATGTCCACTCAGCTAACAGTGGGCAGCAGATTCTGGAGTTGCAAGCAAAATATTTCTAAAACCTGATCTGGGATTTTGCCTCAAATTTCTGCTTGTGTTGCACTAAAAGGCTCATAAAATGGCAGAAAGAAGAGACCGCAGAAACCACAACCAAAGCTGGTAAAGGAGTGCTTGTTGCAGGCAGCAAGTATGGACGTTGTGTGAGCTTCATAAGCACAACGTGCCATCTGTCTGATCTTCCTTGAGAACACCGGTCCCGCTATCAAGCAAAGACATGAAAAAGACATTGCTATGTTGTTCCAGTGGCAGCTCAAGCTGTGAACAGCAACACTGTTTTTTCTTTTTCTTAAAAGACCACAATATATTGTTGCTGAAATGTAAAAATCTGTTGTAGCTTAGTTGTGGCCTCTCTAGGGAGCCTTGGAACAAGACAAAAATGACTCCTCTGTCCACACAGGGCTGAGCGAAAACACACGACTGAAAATTTGGAAGCTGATTCTGACCTCAGGGAGGAAACTCCAAGCTGTGTTTAGCTTTGTGCTCTTTTTCAGTTTTCTCAGTAAGACATCCACATCACAAACTCCTCCTGCAAGAACCCCATTCAGCCGTGCCCTACCTCTGCTGTGGAGTGGAGCATGACTGCAGGAGCTGTGGATGGATAGTCCCTAGCACTGGGTCCATGGCCCCTTCCATACAATCAGACAAGAGGAACAGCAGCCTCAAAAAGTCTGTCTTCCTCTTCCTCTCACTCCTGTAACTAAACTTTGGAATAGGCAATGGGATACTATTGCTTGAGACTGCCTGTATATTCCCAAAGAGCTATTTAAGGAATGCTGAGTTGAAGAAATGAAATTTGTCTTTGGTTTCCACCCGCAAAGCCTGCAGTGGTTCCTGTCTCTTATGTGAGTAAGGAGTATGGTTAAAGTCCCATTCCTGTGGACTTCCTCCTATTGGTAGTAACATCATTACTCCAAGAGGATGCAAATAGCTGAGAGGCAGTGGCCTCAAGTAGTGCCAGGGGAGGTTCAGGTTGGATATTAGAAAACATTTCTTCTCAAAAATAGCCTGTGCTGCATTGGCACAGGCTGCCCGGGGCAGTGGTGAGGTCACCATCCCTGGAGGTGTTCCAGAACAGTCTGGATGTGGCACTGAGGTGGTCAGTGGGCATGGTGGGGATGGGCTGACGGTTGAACTGGATGAACCTTAATGATTCTATGATTCTATGATTCAAATGGTTAAAGGAATGTACCATCATAGACAGAAAGCAGTGACCTGCTCCGCGAAGGGCTATCCTGTCTGGGGACATGGAACTGTATTTTGCTTGGTGACTGGAGCTGAGATGAGCATTGGCATGATGTGGCTGTGCTGTTTAGGTGAACAAGCAGAGAACCAAGCAAACAAAAGTGGTATGGAAGGGAGTTCTTTGGCTATGAAGGGATATGTGTGCACCTACAACAAACTGCAGCTACTGAATGAATCGCTGCTGCTAGAGATGCTCTGACACTGAGTCCAAAAGTCCAGCCTGCAGGTTTGCAATTTTCTCAGCATTTACAAAGTGAAGTTAAATTTTAGCAGTCACGAATATTTGGGTTATTCAGAAGCTTTGGGAGACTAAATAGAACAAAAATAATAAATGTTTAGATCTTACGAGCAGTATTTTTGGAGACACTGGTGTGGGCAGACATTATCAAGAACTGGGAGATAGGGCTGAATTTTTGTGCTGTGTATTCCTTGCTCACTCATTGAGTTCAGGGTAAGGGGAAGGCCATTTCCTGCTCTTTCTCTTCACCTCAAAGTGTCTCAGAGAGAACATATGCCCAGAACTCCTGTGACTTTCTGCAGGATAGAGCTGGATAGAGATGATCTGGCAGAGGTTGCTCACCAGCATTTCAAGTGCTGCCTCTGCACCACAACCTGGCTTGCAGGAATCCAGCAGTGAGCACAATGTGCCCGAGGCTGGGTTTTGCCACCGACAGACCTCTTGATAGCAAAGCCTTTGCACAAGCAGTTGTAAAACAGAAAGGAAACAGATTTTAGATGTCCCCGAAGGAGAGGGTTTTATGGAAACAGCAGAAGCATACAATGCTCTCATTATGTCTAGGCCCTTTTATCTGTGCAAACTTTATTTTTTTTTTCCAGTGGTTAGAGATAAAATCTAATCAGAATTGGCCTGCTGCTGTACTTGTTAAAATAAAATTTAGATCTCCAAAAGGTAGTACACAAAAATATTTTCACTGTCTGTTTCATGGGAGTAAAGTACTCAGAAGTAAGAGGAAGAAATACAATAGACTAAACCAAAGCTGATGACTGGTACCAAAGAAGCACTATAAAGACGTACTCATGTTCTGCTGTGTTGTCTCGTTTATCTGTCAGAATCTGTGGTTCTCTGATATGAAAATGTCAGATTGAAGGCTTTGTAAATCACTGTTTAAAGGGTCTCCTTCTTCTGCCGTGTGATGAACCAAATGCTGTTTAAGCTCTAACTTGTGGCAAAAGGTTAAAACTTGCAGTCACTCCGACAGCTGTATCATTATGTGTATCAAGAGAAAAAAAAGTGTGCAGAAGAGCACTTACACTGAATCTGACACTTTGGCAGGGGCAGTTCTTCTATCATCTTCTATCTCTATCATAAGGAGATGAAATCTTTGCACATTATTTTTTTTGATGTTTGACAGGAGCTGAATTATTCAGGGTTAGGAAACAAACCACTGAGCAGTTCTGCAGGTCTGAGTGCCTCTTCACAGTTATAATGTCCTAATTGTTCTTCAGAGTCTGCTGTTAGGGAGGGTCGCACTGACTGAATGCTCTGTCTAATCTAAAATGGCCCATGCGAACATTTCCTGTAGCTTGCAAACAAAATGAGGGAAAAAAAAAAAAGGCCAAGAGAAGAAACAAGGGAGAAGGAGAAAAGCATGAGAGAAATTTGTTTGTATTGTTAATGAACCTTTGAATTGCTGCTTTTGATGATTACTTTTTGAGAAAAAAAAAAAAGTAAAATGGGGATATGAGGGATTTCCTCTCATGCTTATTTCTAATATGCCTCAGAAACCTATCTTGAGGATTCACGCATCTGTTACTGCAACAGAGATATACTATAAAACAAACGATGATGTCTTTGTGGTAGGAGAGGTTAAGTCAAAGCCTATTAAAATCAATTTTAAAATGCTCATGGTTTTCAGTGGATGAGGTACAAAGTAAGAGATGGGGAACCAGGAGGTCTTTCTGCCCAGCTCTATCACAGTCCCCAAGTGAGACCATCAGCTAATTTACCTTTTGTATTTCAGTTTCCCTACTCCCCTAAGTCCTCTAAAGTGCCTACCCAAAGGCAGAATCAAGCTTAATGGCTTATAAGGTGATTGGAAAGCCTTAGAAAGTGCTACAGAACTGCAAGGTATTCCTGGTACCTAGTAGATGTTTTCATTTAAGGCTGGTTAAACACTTAATGTTTAAGATATGAGGGGCTGCTGAACGTAAGTGTTAATAAAAGGTTCCCATAGATTAGGTTTTCTCCTGGGGGTCTACTTTGAACTTCATTCCTGTGTTTATTTAGCTGTGCCTATGTGTGCGTATTGCCCTGCATGTAGCAAAGGGCCAGGAGGACTGAGCCCCTCCCTGAGGAAGCTCTGACAGAGGATCTGTGCAAATGTGCTTCCTCTTCCTTTCACTCCCCAACCTTAAGGTCAGAGGATCTGGAAAATCCTCCTCCACCCTGTGACTTGATCTGACGATTGTAATAGTACCGCGGTTCCCCCTCGCCTTCCGCTCCCCACCCTTCCCTCTCACAGCCTGCTAACCCTTTCAAGCCTTTCCCATGTTGGGAACACAACCCTGGCCCCAAGCAGGGGGGAAGGGGCACTCAGTGCTTGTGTTGATATGGCTGAGCAGCCCCAGCATTGGGCTGTTTCTGTGACCCTTATAGGCCAAGACAACACGTGAAAACGGCGTCTCAACAAGTATGCTGGGGTGTTGCTTCCTGCTGCCAGACAGAGAGACAAGCCTGGAAAACACTTGTTATAAACTCAGTTGAAAAGAGTTAACTGCTTATTTATTTATTTATTTTCATGCTTAATCTGTGATATTTGGATTCATGTCAGCTAAGTCAGGAATTCCTGCCTTTGGCTTCTAGCTCCACTGTAGCGTGAGGGGCCCCTGTGGTGGCTGACGGCACTGGCACCAGTAGCAGCAGCAGGGCTGGGAGGACACCGATGGAGTGCTCCTGTTCTGGGTGGAGCTCTGCCATCTGGAGGATTTTCCACTGTTCCTGGCACTGCCCTTAAACAGTCGCTTTGAGGACTCTCAGAAAAGTCTTCAGGGAGGCCAGAGGGGCTCACAGGAAAAAGGGACAGTTGGCTAGAGGAGTGTCTCCATTTCCGCTGCACGTTTCCAAGCTGGAAGCCAGGTGAAGCCCTGTGTGTTCCCGTTGCTCTGAGCATCCATCAGTCCCAACAGGGCAGCCAGCTTTCCTCTGCATGTGGCTCTGCCCACTGCCTTGCTTCCTCAGCATGCAGAGCCAGCAGCTGTATTTCTCCTCAGGGAAGGTGAAAGCCAACGCACCCCATGCATGGCTCACAGTGTGGCTCACCTCACTGTTGTAGAAAACATTCATGAGGCTTCCTTGGGGCTCCTTGGGCTGGAGATTTCTTTGGGGGGGGAAAAAAAAAAGCAATGGCATTTGGAGTTGCTTTGATTTGCCTTCTGGATCCTGAACCTTTTAGTCACACCAGAGTAACATTTTGTTCATCAGAGCAAGAAAGTGACTATTTTCAGTAGAAGATGTGATTTCCACAACAAAGGGTAACAGTGACAACACCAGGCAGATAGTAAAACCACCAGAGAGATCTGCATGCTGGCCATGGCCTGTAGGCCCACACTGTGGCTCTAGATGGAGACCGTACCTCCCCAATGGTGTTCTTGGGCTTGCTGAACAGAGTGAGACTGAAACGTGATGCGGTGTTCCCCTTCCCAACACCCCAAGCTGAACAAGGCTTTCAGATCGTGAAACCCCAGCATTTCATTACATCTGAAAAAGATGGGGTGGAAAAAGGATCATGAAGACCTGGAGCTGTGAAGGAGCCCCTGGGGGATCCTCTCTGCTGGACCTCCTGCATCAGTGTTCCCTGCAGGTTCCTGCAGACTGGCAGGCAGTGGCACCATCTTCTGATTCCCTTGGCTGCCATCTTCAATGCAGTGCCAGCAAAATAGGAAACCCAGCTTTCCCGCAGAGGTGGGAAGGGTCTCACTGTCCCAGTGGCATGAAGATGTCCAGTGCTGGGGGAGGAGGGCAGTGGCCATCAGTGGAGAGAGGGAAAAGCAGCAGCCAAGCAGTCCCACTTACCCCAGCTCCCAGGCACCTTGCCTGTGGAGGAGCAGGTTGATGTCCCTCCTCTCACTGCATTTGGCTGTCTGCAGGAAGAGATCTTGAGGCAGCAACGTGATCCTTACTGGAGGGTTCATGCTGCAGATTTGCTGGATGGCCAGGTGGCTTTTCCTGCACGGCTGTCCTGTCAGAAGCTAGGGCACAGGAAAGGATGCTGGGGCCAGCTTGCCATTGGACCCTGCTTGACACATCTCTAATGGCATCTTCTGCAGCTCTGTGGCCCATTTCATCCAGCAGAGTATCATGTCCTCTGTAGGAAGAGACAGGAGAGGCCACAGTGCTGTCCCACCGGCTGCTTTGGCCTACGGGCTGGCAGTCGGCCTGGCAGTCGGCCTGGCAATTTCAGAGTCTCCCAAACTCCCTGTGGACCTGAAAGCACACACAGAGTCCTGACTGCATTATTCCTAAGTTATTTTTAAAGATGCATTTGTGACAATTAGCATTTGTTGCTTTTGTATATGCAATTAGGTATTTCTGGTGTCATGCATAGACTTAGCCTCTCTGAAAGGAGCAGAAGGTAATCCCTGAAGAGACGATGCAGCATAAGCTTCCATTTCCCCATTCAGTCTAGAGTGAGCAAACATTTTAGGTTCTATCAGTGTTTGTGGTCTGCAGTTAAAAAAGCTAAGACAGATACAGGTTAGTCGAGTTCCTCTGCAGAGTGATTTATTACATACACACAGGCCAGGGGCTGAGCACTGCAGTAATTCGTCTGACCCACAGAATAAGTACTTTCCAACATTAGCATTGACCCAGACGAATTACACAGAGATGCCTGCATAATTATGCCTCTTTGAAAGGCCTTTCAGTAAACATACGTGTATGTATAAAGTGCCTTTCATTTAAAGAACACAAAGTGTTTTGGGTCTTATTCCACTCCATTTACTCTAAGGCCCTATTACCCTTCTGTGGAAGGGAAAATACACTGGGCTTCAGCCTCAGGGAAACCACAGATGTTTGTACCCTGCAAAATATGTTTTTGGGTGCCTACACTAACATTTGTGGAGGTAATCACTAAATGAGTTAGCATGGGGCCACAAGCTTGGCTATAAATACATGCACAAATTTCACGTTTCCTGGAGCAGGAACTGCTATTTTTTTGTGTACAGCACCTGACACAATGAAGTCTTGACCTGGTTAAGGTTCCTGTGCTGTCCTGCAGAGAAATAGTAAATAAAATTGTAATAATGAAGTTTTCTTCATTCCTTCTGCACTATGTTATTTCTGAGGTGTTTTTGCTTAGTGAGTCTAATTAACAAACTTCTGGAGCTGATACTAAAGGAAAAGGATTTGGAAGAGTACATATTTTTGCCACTTATGAATCCTGTCTATTTTAAAACAGATCACACATTTCTTGAAATTTTCTAAGAAACAAAACCGTGTTTTTTTACAATAGTAATGAATTCTGTGCAGTGCAAAAGGTCATATAAAAAGCAGCAGGAGGACAGGATGTTGGGATAAAACGCGGAGCAGATTTACTTCCTAAATTAACGTTTTTTTCCTCTGTTTTTCCCACTCTCCCTGGGACTTTGTGGAATAACAGCGTCTTGTGCTAGACAAAGGAAATGAAAGAGCATTAAGTACAGGTATACTGCAAACATGGTAGGCCAAATACTGGGACATTTCTTAAGAAAACCAACAAAAGAGCTCAACAAGGAACGCAGATTTAAGTGGAAACATGCAATTCAGCTTATCGACAGCTTTACATTTTATTCATTGCCAAGAGTCATATGTATTGGGAAGACATTAAGTAGACAAGTATGTGTAAAAGCTGTCAAATATAATCAACAAGTATGAACTCACTGCATTTATGAGAAACTCATGTACATTTATCCATGTAAGTATGAAGTAGGGTTATTATACCTGGCTACATATTTCATGATCCTGAAGAGACCAGAATGACTTCACAACCTTACTGCAGTGTCATCACAGTGTTGGGACCCCTGCTGAACTTAAATTTGTCTGGTGTATGTGCCTGAAAATGAAAGCTCTGATAACGCTGCAATCCAACGGATGAATGAAAAGTTGGTTTAATAAATATAAGGCTCACAAATTTAATCATCTGATATGTTTGGAAAAAGTTCTAATTATAGGCAAGTGCAGCTCATGATTTGTTTGTATAAGACATTTGATTCATTGAGAGAAACCTGTGGCAAAGCACAAAGTGTCACTTTGAATACCTCAGTAAGTTTACAAGAAAGGCACTTATATTTGTTGTTTTGTATTACTGGCTGGGCCTTTCTGCCTATTCCAAGGTCTCAAGAGGACTCTGCTCTCAGGTGTCCCAGCCAGCAGGGGTAAGGGAATACCCTGACAGCAAGTCTTCTTGTCCCCATCCTATCCTCTTAATGAATGGCAGTGGTGGGAGTGAGTTGTCTTACTGGCCATTGGAACCTTCTGGGCAATGCAGGAGGGGACCAGCACCACTCCTTGCCTTTCCCTGTCTTCCTCCATGCTGAGGAGATGTATAAAACAAACTCTTGACATCTCTGCCCATTTTTCTCTTTTAGCCTCTCGTTGAAGCTTATTGCGTGGGAACTACATAGGACTCTGTTTTTAATTTCTTGCCTTGCTGTCACACTTGCTGGGCACACCCATTCATCCTCAGGTTCCTGTGGGAAAAAAAGGAGGATTATGTTACCTGTTTTCTATTTCAGGCAGAGTTTCAGAGTCCCATCCTGTTCCTAGTCCCCAGGATCCTGCAGCGCTCTGCAAGGATAATCTCTTGCAGAAGGGGAAATGCAGAGAAGGCTCCGATAGCAGCAGCACTCTTTCCTTCCATCTCTCTATGTCTCTCTGCCTGCATCCTCTCAAATTTCATTTGCAGAAAGGAAAAAAAGATAAGGTTTGACCTGTTTTCCTTTTCAACAGGAACTGGAAGATTACCAAGAAAGCTGGGAAGATGTAAAAAGAATAAATATAATTAAGAAAAAAAAAAGAGAAAGAGCTGCAAGATAGAGAACTATGCAGCTAACAAGAATGAAAAAGAGAGAAGAGGAGGAAAGTACAGAAAAGAAATCACAGTCTCAAGTATCTGAGTAGATGAAGCCTCCACTGCCATGTGCATTTCCTGGACTGGCATATCTGTGCAAAAGCATTTTGTGTTCAGAAACACTAATTTCACACAGGACCTCCTGAAAGCATCACAAAACCAAAGCTAGAGAAAGCCTCTCTGTGAAATGTGCTGGAATAGCTATCTCCAAGTTATGATTTAGGAGACAGGGAGAAAAAGTCAGCAGTAGTAGACTACAATGTTTCCACATTGTACCTCCTAATGGGATAACTTAAAATTTAGAAGATCTATGAGCTGTGCATACAAGTCACCTCCTCCTTTGCTTTTTCTTTATCATCTTCCTTCCAACCTTCCTCTTAGTCCTTTGGGTCAAAAGGGCACAACTTCCTGTCTGCCTCCTAAACCCTCTGTCTCTTTTATTCTGAAACAGGAATGAGTTGCAGATGAATTTTATTTTGCAGATAGCTGAACATGAAAATATTTGTAATAAATAGGAACAGAATTTGAGTGCTTTTATAAAGGAGAAAAAATGTAAGCAAAGCGATTCCCTCAGAATACTTGGAAAAAAAGAAACAGATGTGAAAAAAAGATCTAAATGTGAATATAAAATAAAATCCAGACCTTTAAAAGCCATTTTATTTT